CAGGTATATACTTCACACTTTCAATAAAAACTAAGGAGGAATTTTCTCCAATTCTATCAAGGAAGTCCAGGGTCTTTTCATCTTTACTGTATACTATCGCTCACAGTGTTGATTGATTTCATGAATATGAAAGCTGAGTGCCCTTTGCGTAACTGATCGAGAAGACCTGAAGTTCATTGGCGATACGGCAGCTTTGGTAGATTCCCACTGAAAATAACACCTTCCTTGCTTATGTGTATTCGAAAGGGTTACCATTTTAAATCGCTATGGAAAAAGCTTCTTTGAGTTTTAAATCAATTGAGTTGTTAGCAGAATCCAGAATTCTAAAGAAAGAAAGAGAGTATTTGTTCTTACAAGAAGGAGATGTGTTGAAATGCTTAAAAATATGCGAGTTTTTATCGCTTTTCCGTGTGCTCCTTTATCCTTCTATTAAATGATAAGAAAATATAGTTTCGGATAGCGTCAGTCATGAAAATCATGGCTTCCATTGAAATTTCGTTCTCTGATTTACTTGAATGATTATTTGGGCATTATATAGCATGAAAACAACGTCAAGTTTGTTAGACAGCCCCCCTATTGTTGTATTTTTCTATTCATTCAGAGAAAAAATCTTAGAAGATTTATCGAGATCGATCGTCGAGCTGTTGAAAAATGCTCTTCAACATGTTCTTTTATTTTTCATTCGGCAATTCGCTTTTTTTACGGGCTTGATTCTCTTCTTCGTAGAATTTGGACTCTCTTCACTGTGTACTCCTGAACCATAGAAGACATTCCAGCGTTATTAGTAACTGAAAATCTCATTACAAAGTCTGTCTTGCCAATCATGCTGAACACAGCTTTTCTAAATCTCCGGTATTTTATGGAGTATATGATGGGGTTACAGCAACTGTTCGTAAACCCTACAAGCATGGCTAAGGCGCCATACGGACCTTCGACCTTTCGCCCTTTTCCAATCTCAACAAAGAGCAAGATACAAAATGGAGACCAGCATATGAGGTAGACTAAAGTTACTATCATTAATGTGACCACTCCTTTACTTCTTTTTAATTTCCCAGCCGTTATATCCTCTTTATTATAAACTTGCTGCTTTTTTTTGTTACTTGTAACATCTTCAATGCGCTGAAGTTGACTTCGGATTACCCGCGCAATCTTCCAGTATACAAATACCATCGTCAACAAAGCTAAACCGTAGGTTCCTGAAACAACGGAAATTGCAAAAGCAAAGTTTAACCCATACTTCGACCAATCCTCCGCCTTACAAGTGCCAATGTAGGTAATAAAGCACTCGTACGAGCTCACCCCAAACAAGGGCAAGAACGCCCAAATGGCAGAGTATATCCACAACACAAAACACAAACAAATGGCGCGCGACTTTGTCATTTCAAGTGGATAAAATAGTGGACGAC